CAATCCAGCTCCCTGCTAATGCATTCGGGAAAGCAGTGGAAGATGGCGCAAGTGACTAGGCCCCTGCAAGACCCACATGTGAGACCCAGATGGAGTTCCCAGCTCCTGGGTCAAGCCTGGCCCAGCCCCGGCTGTTGCAGCCATTTGGGGGAATGAACCAGCAAGTGGAAGATCTGTGTCTCTCCCTCTTTCTGTCAGTCTGCCTTTCAAATAAATATTTAAAAATAAAATTTTTTATTTATAAAAATAAATATTTAAAGAATAATTTTAAAAGTAATAAAGATAGTTCAGCAGGTGTGTGTGAGTGAGAGAGTGAATGAATGAATGAATTTCCATGGGGGAACAAGAGCTTGGAGATTCTTTTTCCATTTTGCTGCTCTTGCTAGGACTGTTTTTTGAAACAGCTTTATTGAGATGGTTCACATAACCACGCAATTCACCAGCTTCTGGCTGTTATCAAAAGTACATAAAGTAACAAATGCTAGTGAGGGTATGGGAAAGGGGGGCACTCACACACTATTGGTAGGAGTGTAAATCAGCCAGCCAGCCTGAAAACCAGCATGCAGATTCCTTTGAAATCTGGAAATGGGGCTGCCGTATGATCTGGACATGAACTCATACCCAAAAGACATGAACTCATTGTATCCAAGAGACACCTGCTGCACCATGTTTAAAAAAAATTTTTTTTAAATTTATTTAAGAGGAAAAGTTACAGACAGTGAGAGGAAGAGACACAGAGAGGGGTCTTCCATCTGCTGCTTCACTCTCCAAATGGCCGCAATGGCTGGAGCTTTGCTGATCCGAAGCCAGGAGCCAGGAGCCTCCTCCAGGTCTCCCGTGCAGGTGCAGGAGCCCAAGGACTTGGACCATCTTCTACTGCTTTCCCAGGCCATAGCAGAGAGCTGGACTGGAAGAGGAGCTGCCAGGGCTCAAACTGGCGCCCATATGGGGTGCTGGCGCCGCAGGCGGAGGATTAACCCACTGCACCACAGCACCGGCCCCTGCACCACGTTTATAGCAGCATTGTTACAGTAGCCAAAAATACAAAATCAATGTCGGTATCCATCATCAGGTGAATGGATAAAGAAAATGTGGTGTACATATACAACAGAATACTATACAGCTATAAAGAAAGAAATCCTGTTATTTGCAGCAAAGTGGACGTCATGGTGAGAGAAATAAGTCAGACACAGAAAGTCGGATACTGCACGTTCTTTCTCAAATGTGGGACCTAAAACAATCACACAGTTTGCCATCTTTTGTGACTGGCTTCTCCCACTTAGCACAGGGTTTCCCCGTCTCCCTCCTACCCCTGGCTCTATAGGAGGCACAGGATTCTGGGAGGTGGGAGCAGGGTGTCTAGTGCAGCAGGTAGATCCGTGGACTGGTTCAGACCTGGAGTTGCACCTGACGGCTGCCGTCTAAGGAGAAAGGGGATGGCCTTGGAGATGTTGGCCGCAAATAGTAAGACAAAGGCCCAAGGGACCTAGGCCCCAGCGGGGAGGGAGTCAGAATAGGAGAGGACAGGAGGACAGGAGAGTGGCCAGGCACCAGGGTGCAGAATGAGATGAAAGATCAGGCGTAGCGGGAGGAGCAGCAGAGTGGAGAGATTAGGATCAGAGCGATGGCTTGAATTTAGACTGCTAGGGATGGAGCAGGTTGTAGTGGCGACAGTGTCCACCACAGTGACGGCAAAGCAGACTGGAAGGGAGGCGGGAGGTGTTGGAAGAGCCCTCTAGAGGAGGCCAGAGCATAGAGAGAGAAGTAGCCTAGGGTGCTCGGGGCGGGGCAGCAAGGGGAGGACCGGGAGGCACTGACAGTGAGCACAGGGCGTTCTGGTGAGAAGGCCCGGCAATGAGAGTGGACGTGGTGACACCCCGAGGGAGTGTCCCAAAGCCACGGAGTTGTAGCTGGTAAAAGTTACAGGTGAAAGACAGGGAGAAACAGAGATCCTCCATGCACTAGTTCACTCCCCCAGTGCCTGCACCAGCCAGATTTCGGCCAGGCTGAAGCCGGGAGACTGGAGCTCCATCCAGAGCTCCTACGTGGGTGGCAGGGGGCCGACGACTTAACCATCACCTGCTTCCTCCCAGGCTGTGTGTTAGCAGGAAGCCAGAATTGGAAGTAGAGCCAAGACTTGAACCCAAGTCCTTGGATACGGGATGTGGGTGTCCCAGGTGGCATCTTAACTCTCGTGCCAAACGCCCACCCCTCAATTTCTAACATTAAGAACGAGAGCACAGGGTGAGGAGGAATTTGTTGTCTACGTTCAGAGGGCCTGCGTGGGTTGGTCGGGGTGGGAGGGAAAGAGCAGGAGCCTGTGTCTGCTTAGAGATGGGCAGTGAGGCCTGGGCAGTGGTGGGGGTGTTGGGCACAAGCGGCCCAGAGGGATGGGGGTGCCCAGAGTTCCGGGAGCACTGGTGCAGTGCACCCTGGGAGGTGGGGGTGGGGATGGCAGAGGCATGTCAGGTTCATGGCGTCGGGAGCTGGTGACCGAAGGACCATTTCAGGGGTGGGCACCAGCAGTGGGAGCTCCCGAAAGTGAGGCAGTGAGGGCAGCAGTCAGCTGGTGACGCGGAAGGGGACTTGTGTCTCCCCGCCCAGAAGCCCTGCAAAAACAAGACAGAGAAGGTTCGAGAAACAAGCACGGGGGTCCGCAGCTGGGGGCCAGGTGAGCGGTGAGCTTCCTGCTGGTGTTTACAGAAGGCTGAGAGCGGTTCCGTGACAAGAAGGGCCGTGAGGGCCAGAAGTGGCCAGTTTGCCACACGCACGGGCGAGCACAGGACCTGCTTCAGACAGTAGGCATGGGACTCAGGGACCAAAGTGCCCAGCACGTGGAGTGAGGAGGAGTCCCTACTGCAGGCGGCTCCACGGTTACCCCAAGTCTCCTCCCTATCCCTGGTGCCGGATCAAAAGGATGAGGACCAGGCTTGCGGGTGAAGGAAAGACGTAGTTTAATCTACCGACAGACGAGGAGGGCAGGTTAGCAACCAGAAGAACCGCAGGCCTGGGTTTGAGGAGGCCGTGGAGCAGGCTGGGCTGCTGAGCCAGGTGTAGAAGGCATCTCAGAGTCTGGCAGCCGGGTGTCCCTCAGATGACAGCGCGGTCCCCTGGGAAACTGGCTTGCTGGCTTCCCTTTATCCCGAGGAGGGCATAGCAGCTCACCGAAGTAGCCACGCGGCATTGTGTGGCTGAGATGGCGGCTCAGCCAGGCACCGAGCTTGTCACAGATTGCCACCTGCTCCTCGAGAAGGCCCACAAGCCCAGAGATGAACCCTCTCTCTGACTGGGTTGCTCAGTTCCCGCTGCCTGTGGGAGCAGCCCAGGTAGGAATTAAAGCCCTCCCACAGCACTGGCGAAAGGGAAGCCGCCCACTCAGCAGCCTGGGGAGCATCATTGGTTAGAATTACAGTCAAGCCGCCTTGCACTGGATCATGGCACGGACCAGTCCTTGTCATTTTATTTCATCCTACACCGTGGTCGCCCCCGCCTCCAGGCAGTCACACCGGGTTTCTGCTGAGAGCTGTCGGCACTCAGGCACATTTTGGTTTCCGTGGTGGCTGCCACTTTGCAGTCAAGAGTCTCCCAGGCTCGAGCCACCACCCTACAGCCTCTGGCTCAGGCTCTGGCTGTCCTGTGAGCTGTGTGAGGACCGGGACCCTGCTCCATCCATGCACCCAGGGCCCCGCATGAGGCCAGGCACAGCACAGGGGCTCAGTGCCTATGGATGAGATGCATCGCAACTGAGTGAATGAATGCATCAAGGGGAACCAGGAGACCGCCCACAAGTCACCGGGCAGTTACGATGAGTCTTAGTTCATTTCCTGTTATGCTCACCATGGCCCCGTGGGGGTGCTACTTGTAGACACTCCCAGGAGGGAGAGCGGACCTTGGGAGGCAGTTCTCCATGGAGGCGCCTGGCACGCCTCGGGGAGCCTGGCGGTGGGGGAGTGTGCCAACTGGTAGCCCTGGAGGAGGCCTCACGGGAGAGGTGGGGCGAAGCAGGGATGGTGGCAGAGAGCAGGCCGTGTGGAAGACGGCCCCTCCAACGCTCGGGCTGCAGGGACTCTACCACTGTGATCTCGCCCTCCCTAGCGAGGCCCAGGAGAGACGAGGGGCCCTTTGCTTGTGTTCCGAAAGGGGAGACCCAATATCGCAAGGAGGTAGCTGGGGGACGTGCCCAGTCCCCGTTCCCCGCGGCCCTGCAGAGCCCTGAGTGGCGCGTGCTGGAACGTCCCCCTCCCTCGGGTGGTTGCAGAGGCTGCCATTCACCAGAGTCCAGGGGGTCCTGCTGCAGGCTTGCTCCCCGGGGAGCCCCGCTCTGTCCCTGCACAGGGTCGGATCCCCGGCTCCGCAGGCCTCCTCCGTAGACTATTATTTCGGGAGAGTGCTTAGCTCAGCACAGCTGCAAGGTGCAGGCTTCTGAACTCTGCTGGCCCCTCCCAGCTGGCCTGGAACCCCACCCCCACCCCGGGGGGGCAGCCCCTCCTACACCAGGTGGCCTTGTGCAGACAAATCCACCTTTGGGCACCCTGGGGGCTGTTGAGACGGGGGCGGGGGTGTTGTGTGGACTGGAGAGGCATAGACCCACCCTTAGCCCTAAGCCTTGGGTCACCAGCTTCTTGCCAGGGCGACCTTAAAGCCCCAGAAGCCCCACACGCAGCAGGTGCGGGCTCCTGTCCGTGCGTCTGGCTGGCCGCTTGGCCTCTGCCTTGGTGGCTGGGACAAGAGCGACAGCAAAGCCGCGCCCTGCCCTGCCGGGGGAGGAGCCTGCAAACTGAGTCCGGCTTGGAGGAGGCCCAGGTCCTCCCAAGGCCCCGTGTCCGGGAGGCGGCTTAGCTGCAGGGCCCAGGGAGCTCCTGCACGTCTTTCTCCCTCTGCTTCCCCCTGGGGCTCTGGCCCACCAGGTGGGCCCCTGGGGAGAGTGGGGGAGGCTCGGACAGGGGGGAGGGGAGCCCCTGGAGATACTCCAGCCACTCTGAAGGCTCTTCCTGTTCCAGGTGCCCATGGGCTGGACGACGAGGCTGGCCATGGCAGCCCTGCTGCTGGGCGTCGTGATGGTGGCCACGGGAGACGAGGACGAGAATGACCCGTGTGTGTACGAGGCCCTGCCGGACGAAGATACCGTCCTCTGCAAGTAAGGCAGGCCGGGCTGGCTGCGGGCGCCCAGGGAGGGCTGCTTCCAGAGCGCGGGCCCAGTTCTCCTGAGCCAGCTGCTGTGGGTTGGGCCGAACGTGGGTGAGGGCTGCAGGCAAGGCAGGCTGCCCTGGAGCCCTGCAAACCTGTGCGTTTTAGGGGACTGGCTTCAGCTTCTCTGCTGGGTCCTAGAAAGAGAGAGAGACCATTGCCCCCTACAGCCCAGAGTGCCCCCGTCCCAGGGACCTCCACCAGTGTCTGTGGAGCAAAAAGTGGCAATCAGAAGGAGGCGTGTGGGGGGCCCTTGCTATGCGAGATTTTTATCTGGTCATAGGCCCCCGGGAATACTTCCTCTGGGGGCGCTGTAGGGAGGGTGGCCACCCAGGCCAGCTTCTTCCCACCCACGGGCGCAAGCTTCTCCCACACTGAGCTGGCTGGGAAGCCTGGAGCTCAACCTTTCCCTCCCCAGCTCTGAGGGTTAGAAAAGCAAGGCCCCATTCCCAGGCCACCTGATGTCACCACCTCCTCACAAGGGGGTTAGTGGCCGAGGAGGGTGACGCCCCACTGAGGCCATCTCCGGGACAAGGGGAGAGGGAGGAAGGGCCCCTGCCTCACCCTCCGGCTTCTCCTGCACATTGGCTTTGCACACGCTGTCTTGCATGTTTCCTTACAAATCGTGGCCATGCTACGATTCCCAAAGCTTCCTGGGAGAATTACTGCTGCACAGCCAGCCGTTGATTTTTCTGGTCCGTGAAGCTGTTTCCATGCATGGAGAGTTCTGGGTTTGTAATCTGTTACCAAAAACCTGGCCCCTGTCCCCAGTGCCAACTCAAGGTGACAGGGACTAGGGCTGAGGGCAAAGGAGGGAGGCAGTTTAATCTGTCAAGGCATGACAGGGGTAGCAGATCTCCAAGTTAGAGAGCTATCACCCTGCTGAGTGAGGGTGCTTTGGGGTTCTTGAGGTTCCAAGGAAGGGGAGTCAGGATTAAGGGGGGCAACAGACAGGGGCTGTGCATGTTGGCCTCCGTCGTGGTGAGGAGGGGCTGGCTGGGGCCACAGTGGTCATCTGGTCTGGTTACACGTTCAGCTCATGTCCAAGTTCCTGGATGGTCAGCAATGCCGTACTCTTCAGGGATCATTACAATGGCCGCGTGGGCTTGCGTGTTTCCTGCCCTGAGCCTGGAATTCCCCTAAACAAAACCCCTGGGGGCAATACTGGCCATCAAGGTGTTATCTATTGGAGAAGCAAGTGAGTCTGGTGGTCAGAGCCTGTGGGGTGGCCTGGACCAGTCCCTCAGCTCAGTGAGTTATGCTACCCAGGCACTGTTGGGGGGCTTGGTTCCGTTCCCCCTGTTTCTCATGACTCCTCAGTCTTGAGGGTGTAGGGACGAGGACTGCTCTGACTACTTCATGAGGGGCAGGGTGGGCTGTCTCAGGGTTGGAGGGGCGCTTGGCCCAGTGTGTGCACAGCATGATCGTGCAGGGGCATCGACATTCCACGGCAATGGCTAGTATTCCTCTACCCATAGTGAAAGCCAGGAAGATGATTATTTTGTCCACCAGAAGCTTCCAGTCCCAGACCGGGAGTGAACTGGCAGGCTTCTATATTTTTTCCACCTTCGTTGAACCCAACAAAGACCCAAATTACATCTTCCTGTCTATCCGAGAGGAAGCCAAGGCCTCCAGCATTTCTATTTCTTCAAGCTGGTGTGAATGTTGCCCTCTTACCTCCGCTAAGGCACAAGGCACAGGGGAGGGCTCTGAGTGCAGCCTTCTGGGTTAGGACGCCTGGTGGCCATGCTACGATTCCCAAAGCTTCCTGGGGGAGTTACTGCTGCACAGCCACACTTGTTCAATCACCTATAATCAGTCACACACAGGCTCCCCAGAGGCATGGGGGCAAGGTGACCGGAGTCAAAGATGATAGCGTTTTACAGTAACATTTCAGTTATCAGTCTGGCTTGGTTATTTCCCTGTAGGGCCACACGGGAGCCGGTGACCTCCCTGTGTTTGTTCAGAATGGCAGCACACAATGAGCTGTGTGCGTGGCGGTGGGCTGCCACAAGGGATCCGTGTGTCTCCTGCCATCCCTCACAGGTGGCTGCTACTCTCAGACACATCAGCCAGCCTTGGTGGCAACGCCCAGGCCTTTGAAGTGTACGCCGTCAGTCATCCCCCACCCCAGATTGTGAGCCGTTATTCCAAGTCCTAGCGGTTACTATCAGATAATCATGTATAGGAACCCTTCCTTTGCAACCTCTCGGCTGTGTCTAATCCTGCTTAGGGTTGACGCCAGTGACGCCATCTTGATCTTTATTCCCACCTTCTGATCACGATCATTTTCTGACCAGTCGTCTTGGGGCCGAGTTCGTTCATCCCCCGGGTCAGTAGGCACGAGGCATCGTCTCAAAGGGTCAGGCCAGTATTATCTTGCTGTGAACTGTGTTTCCGGAGAATTCTGACAGGAAATAGGTGCCAAGCTCAGAACAAATCAGGCTTACGTCTCCGTGAACAGCATTATAATCTAACAGTGAACGTTATAATCTAGCAGCCGACATATAATCTCAGATCTGGAAAATTCTCAACGTTAAAAAATCAATCCAGGGCAGACTTTGATTTTTTTTTTAAACTAGAGTGTCTTAATCTTTTGCGTTTTCAGAGCCTGCTGGGAAGTGACGGCTCCATTTACTCTGTCACTGCAAGGCTGGGGACTCTCAGGCATGATATGTAGATGTTCCAACGTTTCCAACTACATCCTTTACCACCAGGGCAGCTTCTTACTGAACTCATGCAGATAATCACATTGCCACAAAAAAGGAAAATCTTCGGAAAAGGTTTTGAATTTTAGAGAAATTAATTAAGAGGCAAAGGCAGGCATTCCCTCCCCGGTTACAAAACTATGCTTTACCAAAGCACTGTAAACCACGGAATTCATAGCAAGAAGTTTTCCTGAACCGAGAAGTTGAAATGCAATATTTTAAATAAAAGACATAGAAATCCGCAAATTTTCACGAAGTCATTCAGTCTTGTGCAACTAATTTTTTTCTTGTTCTCCATTTGCTGTTTCGTAGATTTTCCAGTTTTTTTTTTTTTTTTTTCTCTCTCTCAGTTCTGGACAATCCGATCTCACCCGGTGATCTTAAAGCAGTCAGAGCGTTTGCTGGAGTCTTCTCTGAGAATCTGACTGTGAATGTTTTCAGAGAAAAATCGGAACCGTGGATGGCAAAAGGCTCAGAATGGCCCTGGTTAAACTCATAAAACTCGGCAGTGGACAGGAGACGGTTTCGGTTCTGAAAGCCCCTGGAGGCTTTGCAAAGCGGGGTCCCTCTACGGCCCCTGGCTGTGGTGGGGAGGGCCGCTCAGTGGTCTCTGCGAGGTCTCTAAGTCCTCTTTTTATCGAGATAACCGTCAGGACTGGGAACGCAGCCTTGCACAACAGTTGCTGTTCATGACACACCCGTAGAGCTGCTATCTAAAGCTTTTGTAAAACTTGAGAGTGTTTTCCGTACAGATCTAAAGAGCCTAATTACCTTTTGCCTCTACAGATGAGAGAACCAGCCTTTGACATTTCCAGGGGCCCAGCTGGAAATCTCAAAAGTCAAAAAAATGTAGAACTTTGATTCTGAGAAAGCCTAATAAAGATGCCGAAAGGACATAACATGTCTGGTCAAATAGGATCCCTTATCACTGTGAAACAACACCCGTCCATTTAACCAGGGCCATAGCCCAGATTTACTCATAGTTAGAGTGATCAGTCGAGTCTGGTACATCAGTAGATATCCCCAAACAGTCTTAACTCTTTTAAGAACCAGCTTTCCAAACAATTAGCAAATTGTTAAAATTGACAAAGACAGTAGAGTACTCGAGAAGTTACCTTTTTTTTTTTTTCTTTTTTAAAGATTTATTTATTATTTGAAAGACAGGGTTACAGAGAGGCAGAGGGAGAGAGAGAGAGAAAGGTTTTCCGTGCTTTGGTTCACTCCCCAAATGGCCGGATCTGGGCCAATCCAAAGCCAGGAGCTTCTTCCAGGTCTCCCATGCGGGTGCAGGGGCCCAAGGGCTTGGGCCAACCTCTACTGCTTTCCCAGGCCATAGCACAGAGCTGGATCAGAAGTGGAGCCGCTGGGACTAGAACCGGCGCCCATATGGGATGCCAGCCCTGCAGGCGGCAGCTTTCCCCACTACACCACAGCCCTGGCCTCTAGAGATTACCTTAGTGAAACATGAGGTGTTCGCTTCCTTGGCTGGTTACCGGAAGATAAAGCCACTAGTAGAGACTCCAGCTTTTCTACCCCCTTTTGAGATCAGCGTTTAGTGTCCGGGCACCTGGCATCCCACAGAGCTCACAAGAACTGGCTCTGAAGTCGAGGAACACAGCCACCAATCAAGGCAAACTGTGAAAAGGGGAAACTGCGGACCAGCAGATGGTCCAAAAAATTAAACAAAAAACAGATTAAAAGGTCAAAAACTTCCCACAGACTTTCTTACTAACAGAAAACCTTGTTGCTTTAACAGAAGATGGGTTTCTGATGTTACATTACTGTCCCTTTGATATTAATGATCAAGTTTTAGAAAACCCTGTAACAAGGTTTTAAAGTTAGGGTCACTTCTCTCACACATAGCATTTTCTAAGATCTTTTCATTTTAAACCTCTTGTGACCTCACACCTACTGCAACTTAAACTTTTAGTTTTTGTCCTATCTTCTCCTCTCCAGTCTGGAGTCATCCAATCATTTTGCTTTAGGACAAAAATTCTTATAAAAGATGCCCTCTATTTATCAAAACAAAACAAAACAAAACAAAAAAACACTCTTCCCTTAATCTTTTGCAAGAATACATTCTCATGCTTATAACTGTCTTTTTATTTTTCTTTCCCCTGTCTACGGGTTTCTTCCATCTTGTTTCTATTTTTAAATTTGTATTTACCTAATTTTTTTAAAGATTTATTTTTTTTTGAGAGGTAGAGTTATAGACAGTGAGAGGGAGAGACAGAGAGAAAGG